CGTTTCTCGCCTGGCGGAAAGATTCGTGGGTATACATTTCCTCCGCTTCCCTTCAGGTGCCGGTAAGGTCGCACTCGCCAAATATCTTACTCTGTGCGCAAGATGTCTCACGTTTACGATTGCACTCATATGAAGGGCCGGTAGTTTCTGTCGCATCGTGATGAAATACCACAAACGTGAATGAATGCAAAGGAGGTGATGGCAGTAGTGAAATTCCAGCGACTCGCATCATAATGCTTGAAATAGACAACCAACAGGCATGGACGGTGCAAAATAGAGCTTAAGTAAACTTGTGTTGCATGCACTGGCAGTTCTCATCAGAGTTCACGCGTTCTGAGAAATGGATTATGGTACACTATGCTCTGAGTAACTCCGGAGTTCATTCCTTCATCACTGGTGAACCAATCACTGAAGATTTTGTGTGGTACGAGGCTGTTCCTGTTCACGCTGGTGTAAGTGCTGGAAACATGAATGCACTTATGCTGCGTGGTGAAATATTCTGCACAGTTCTGAATCTGTTCAGGTAAAAAGAAAAGTCGGCTGCACACTTGCAAACAACGGAAGACACCTTGCTGCAACACTATCGTTTCAGGGAGCCGAGTGAAGAGAGCTACGAAAAAAAAAATGATAACATACCGCGTTTTTTGCGCGTATTTAAGTGTTTTGGCGCATACACGCCGAGACTAAGTTTGTTGTGAGTAGGTATAGACCGGTCGCAAGTACACTTTTGATTGAGACCAAGTGAACACTTCTCGTCAATGATTACCTTGCCCTCAAAGAGTGCACGATAAAACCTCTACGATTGGAGTACTTCATTGCTATCAATAGAAACAGTGCAACTGAAAGTCTGCCTAAAAAATAACGTGTGCAAAATGGTGTTGCCAACAGGCAGCATATCTTACAAAAAAAATTACCTATTGCGTTTCGCAAGCATGCTTGGATGCACACAGTAAAGTAAAAAAAAGTTCACTAAAAGTTCACTACCACTGCATCAGGACAGCTTGACATATAGAGATTAATATAAATATCATTCCCATAGGCATGCAGTCACAGACAGACAGTAAGAAATTCGCTCAGCAAAGTAAGCAAAACCAAAATGTAATTATCAATGCACAAAAACACACTGCGTATGCCTCTCATTCCTCGTTGTAAGCGGAACCCTCCTTGACCTGTCAAACGCACTTAGCCCCGATGAGGACTACGCCATCTACGCTTAACAACGATTAACAATTGACGATGTCTTCTTCGAGATGGTGGATAATCACAATAATGCATTTTCGAAGACTAGTTCATTCAATGGTGCAGCGAGAGACTGTTGCTCCGAACAGTCACTGTAGCTGTCGTTTACTGTACTTATAGTACTTCTTACAGTACTGCCCCGTCGTCATTTTCTAGGGGCTAAAGTACTCGGCTGCTAACCCGCACGTCTCGGGATCGAATCCCGGCTGCAGTGGCTGCATTTTCGATGAAAGCGAAAATTCTGAACTTGTAGCGTCATTTAACGAGCGAAGAGAAAGCTATCTTTAGCTGACTTTGAGAATTTATTGTAAATTGCAGGCCGCATGCTGCACTGTAATTTGTGGCACGCGTGTTCTCAAGAGCCTGAACTACCAATTGACAGCATTTTCTGACCATGCTCAAGAAGTGTTGCAGGGCCCCTTTATGCAAAGGCTACTACAGAGCAAAAGAAAAAAACTAAATATGAATAAAACACAGGCATGTGTATTAGGAAACATTTCAATATTCTCAATTATATTTCTTCTTTGCTGCACAATATTTGCCCAAGTGCCTGCTAAGCCTTTTTCATCAAAAAGCCTTTCTTTCAAATGAATTTAAGAGATACCCAATAAAATAAGTGGCTAGTTTTCTTCTGCACATGTTTTCTGACAAAATGTGTGAGTAATGCCAATACAGAGGTTCATAACAAGGCAGTACTATTCATTATAAGTGTCCAGCCGTTCAGTACACAACCAGATCTTATTTCTTTCCCGTGGGGGTAGCCTTGGAGAAATGGTATACCATGCCTAAAAAGGCCACACAGTCTTTGCGGTGCTTTGAACTGGTATTCCAAATATGCACTGCACCTGAGTGGTGGCTAGCAAGGGTCAGCTGTGCTGCAGCTACATGTGTTAGTCGTAAAACAGCAAACACCTGTGGTGGACGCCTCAATTCCTTTCTTGTATAGGAAAATTCACTGCACCCGTCTTCGCTGTTGGGATGTTCAGAATACTACATATGAAAAATAAGAATGCAACCAGGGCATATAAGATCCTACGTTACACAGGTGATTTGACTGAAAAGGCATTCATTGGCAAGGCACGTGCCTCTATGAAATTCACTTCCGGTATTATGCAATATACCCACAGTTTAGTATAGAAAGTTACTACTATATTCAGTGAATTTCAACATTTCAGATGCAAACACGAAAAAGCAGAGCTTGTACAACTGTAGGTCTCTGCACACATGAGCGATAAAATCAAGTACAAATGCCACAAAGAGTTCAACTCCCTGAAAAATGAGTGAAAATGATCACTTATCTTTTACATTAGATCAACATTAGAGATTAACCATGTGCATTATAAAGGTAACTGCATTATAATTTTACTTTATATTCCTATTTGTATTTCAATGAAGTGATAGCACTAGATTTCTGCATATAAATGTCCTGTGATGAATAAGAAAGTTGAACTTAAAGCTTCACACAGCAGTTAAAAAAAGAAAAAGAAGAAGAAACAGCTTTCATCTTGAACAAATAAATGAATACTAACATGACGAAAATGAGGATGAGAAGAGGAAAGACAGACTACAGCACTTCAAGAAGAAACAGCACTGACACAAAAAATAGACTGGAATGCCTAGAAAGCTGCTTTTGTGACAAGTGGTGGTGTTACATGGTGAATGCACTGCAAAACCAAAGTAACTGCAAAACAAGAGTAATCAGTAAATGAAAATTATGAAAGTATGACAGTTACCTGCAATGCAGAGTTCTTGACAGAATATGTGCAACAAAAAAAAAATTCGCAAAGAAAATTTATTTCACTCAGTTCATAATGGCTATGACAGCCCCAAGGAACTCATGTTTAAAGACATCTTCACTACATGGAGGCATCTACACTGCTGTTTCTGTGCCGACGTCACAAGTTTCAAAAGTGAAGTGGCTAGCAAAAATCGGCTTCCTGACAACACAGTACAGGAGTGTGCATGTCAATCTTTACAATTCATTTCAAGAAGTTACGCACCTCTCACAGGTGCTGTTTTATGTTCAACTCCCACAATGTGGAGGCACAATGTACAGTGCTCACGAGTGGAAATGCAACATCAGAACTTTCAGTATAACAATGAGAATGCGCAATTTAACCGCACCGTATTCCTACAAATCTAGCCGCTAAAGATAATGTTGACTGTTATGCAAGTCTTCGAATTGGAATTAAGATGATATGACATAAACTGAAGATGTTGGCAGCATAAACACATGCATTATTTAGCAATCCTTGCACACTGTGCAATACGAGCTTGCCTGATATTCGTAAAAATACCATGGTTTTCATTCTGAAACAACACACATACTGTAGCTGGCACTGGCTGAGAATGTGACATAATTGCCTCCCTTTTTTTTCCACATAATTTTATGGCTTATTGAAGCTCTTTTGTTTATTGTTTACAACCTCTACAAATATTACTATTAATAAATGGAGTAAGAGAGGGTGCAATATCAAGGGTTCAAGTACCTGAGAGTGTTGTGGAGAAGCTTTGGGAGCAGCAAACTCGCCATATTGGAGTGTGTGTGAAGAAATAGCTCATATAATAACAAAAGGTATGTGTTTTGGGGCAGTTCAATGAAAAGCAAGGCATAAATTATTTACAGATGAATGAAGAAAGGGTGCTTTTAATCGGGCTTTCAAGAACAGTATGATACTCAGTCATATACTGGCTTCACCCATTGTATTTACTTAGGAAATAAAGTCAGTGTTTTAAGACTGCCATTTGGCCTCTAAAATTGATTAAAAAGCACGACGTGAAACCAATACTTTGTTCTGCAACTTGCATTCTGAGGCAGCAAAAGTTTCATTTGGCACAAGCAATCATGCAGAAAACAGAGTATAACAGCATTCAAATTTGAGTGACGACCACTGTTGCCCCTGGTGATCAATAGCGAAGTTTCACAAGAGGGAGCAGGTGGTTAGTCACCATGCTACACTGCTGAACATTGTACATGGGAAAAAAAAATATTTGGGACATAACATCCATGATAACCCCAGCTAATGAGCAAAGATTCAGCAATATGGCATACAAGGAGGCATTAAAATGTATTGGCATAACTAAACTGATACATGCTGAATGAACTGGTTATGACTTAACCACAGAAGTGACTGTACAGGCTTTTTTTCACAATGCTTCATAAACACTAGTTAAAATCATCTTTACTTGGTGTCTATGGTATTCCAATATGTAATAATTATAAACATACATGACACATTCCTGATTGAATTGAATTGACTTTATTTCTTCTGTTTATAACAGAAAGGAAGCAGAAGCTAAAGGACATGAGGCCTTTAGCTGGCACTTCAACCAACCACATAACACCTACACTTCAAATGCTCTAAATGGAACTGGTCGCAAAGGCGTGAACAGAGGTGGAAGCGGGCTTCAGTCTGTTGGAGCAGCTTAAAGAGCAGGAACAATCCTGTTTTGGAGCAGCCTTGGAACACCAAAAAGCGTGTTTTGGAGCAGCGCAAATCATTTCTAGGGTCAAACGTCACTTCTAAGTGAATTTTCATATTATTTACATTTTATAATCTTACTTTTTACAATCGAATATATATGCCTAAAACATGCCACTAAATTGTGTTTACAACTAAGTAGCACAAAGCAACAGTATCATCTCACACAAATAAAACCTTTCCACTCACCATGCCTAAAATATGCCAATAAATTGTGTTTACAACTAAGTAGCACAAAGCAACAGTATCATCTCACACAAATAAAACCTTTCCACTCACCAAGAAGAGTCTTTGGTGAACATAGGCCCAGCTGCACCACTGGGTTATTGACAATGGACCTGTATATAGAACTGCTAGTGTCGAGGCCCAATTGTAAGTCCACAGGCTTAGGTCGGCGATCACCTAGTAGCCACTCACACTGCACAATGAGGGGGGGGAAACAAATTACAGGTGACATTGCATCAGGTTCTCTAAATACTTTAAAAAGTGGATGAAATAAAGCTAATAAAATGGTTGAATATGAACATAAGCCATCCTGACCGCTAACTCCCTCTGTTAACACTCAGGAAAATGTTTAGGCAATAACGCAGCAGCACAAGTTTAATATTAATAATATATTTTGGATTGTTATGTCCAGAACCATGATATGATTATGAGGGACGCTATTGCAGAGGGCTCTGAAAATTTCAACTATCTGGTGTTCTACAACGCACACTGATATCGCACAGTACACGGGCCTCTACCATTTCCTCTAGATCGAAATGCAAACGCCGCGGCCAGGATCGAATTCACAACCATAGGGTTAGCAGTCATGTACCGTAATGACTGATCCAACGTGATGGGCAGCAGCACAAGTTAACATAACAGCCTGGGCAGACTCTTGAAGTGAACCTACATTCTTGAGACCGCATAAGATGATCTTCTTTTATTGTACAAAAAGCCTGAACTCGAGAACATTGCAATCACTACAAATATGAATTCATGTTATACACTGCTTTTAAACTGTAGTTTAAGAGAGACTAAATGCAGTTTTATTAATTTCTGTTCACCTGCTTCCAAAAATTTTAACTGAGACTTTTAATACTATGTCTTGCAAGTTGAATGCTCATCTGTGTGTTTCTAAACAAATGGGGATTTGCTGTGCATTTGTATTACTATGAATAACGTGTTATTCGAGGGTTGGAAGTCCAGTCCCTGCCAACATCAAGAGTTATCTTCTTGCCCACTTTTATTTCTTTGCATTTATGTCATGATTAATTACAATAAATAACACTCTTTACACTTTCCTTGGCATCATTGTCTATTAGTTCTCACTATATTAAACAGACTCTCGGTAATTCAAACTCAAAAGTACCCCAGAATTTTTCGGGACTATCAGAAGTTCTCATAAATATGATTTGGGCAACATACCAGCTTGTATTGTAATGTTTATTGTTTCTCAGAGCCGCAGCTACATCATAGTTAGCTGTGTTTGGCTGAAAGTGATGTTTTTATACCTCAGAGATCATAGTGATACACGTGTTTAATTAAAAGACATAATATGCCTGCTAATAAATTACTTCGTTCATTTTATATTTAGCTTCATTTTATGTTCATTTTGTGTTCATTTTATGTGACGGCTTCCAGAAGTAAGAAATCACCTGCAAGCTCAGTGTCTTGATAACATCCTGGAGCCGGCAACCTGCTGAGACAGTCCGCGTTAGCATGGTTCTGCGTTTTGCGGTACTCGAGTTGGTACTCATACGCCGACAGCATTAAACTCCAACGCGGCATGCGAGGCGATAGCACTTCGGGAATTCGCTTTTCCCTCCGGAATATTCCTAGTTCCTAGAAGTGATTTATGATCTGTGAGTTTAATGAATTTCCGCCCGGCTAGGTATTGATGATAACTTTGTAGCCGACATTTAGTGGTCACAGAGACTTGACAAGTGTCCCTATCAGAGAGTACATTTCCTGTCCGCAACAGCTGAGCAACACAGCCCTTTTCTCTGCATCCGTGGTCAGCTTGTTGACGGCACAAGATAGTTCGATGCGCTCGACGTATTCTTCCCATGTCGCACCACCATTGGCATCAAACTCTGCAATGCGGCCGGTCCCCATCATTTCATCGATTCCGACGGCCCGCACGGGTGATCCTATCCTTGTCACCACTGTTATAACTGACATCCGGACAGTAGATAAGCCAACAAAAAAAGACGATTTATTTCAACTGTAACTGTGCTTAAGTAGATGAAGCGGTGCCCCTTATCTGTGCTTGTGGTGCCCGATACAAATGGCACATACCGCACTGCTCTGCCGGTACGTCACCGCACGACGTCACTTTATCGCAGCATCATCATCAGCCTGACTACATCCACTGCAGGACAAAGGCCCCACCCATAATCCGCCAGTCAGCTCGGTCCTGTGCTTGCTGCTGCCACTTTATACCCTCAAACTTTCTAATCTCATCTGCCCACCTAACTTTCTGACTGCCCCTAACCCGCTTGCCTTCTCTGGGAATGCAGTCAGTTATCCTTAATGACAAGCGGTTATTCTGCCTACGTGCTACATGCCCGGCCCATGTCCATTTCCTCTTCAAGATTTCAACTATGATATCCTTTACCCCGGTTTGTTCCCTGATCCACTCTGCTCTCTTCTTGTCTCTTAAGGTTACACCTATCATTTTCCCTTTAGCTGGAGTGAAAACCTGGATGCTCACAAAAAGGGTTTGGCTGTTAATTGAGGATGACACACATCGTACTCAATCCCACCTCCTATAATCTGAACTAGACAGCTAAGCCCAGTTTGAAGAGAGCTTTATTTTGACCAGGGATGCTCTAGCAGGCCATGCTTGAACAATCTATTGCACTGCTTTATTACAAGTGTGGATGCAACACCTGAGAAAGATGAAGATGAATGCGGGCATGTTTGTTTGACATAGTTTCTGGACTAAAGGGTAAAAAAACAAAATGAGGAGTGTAGAAACACACCGACAGTGGTGTGTGTGCATGTTGCTTTTTTTATCACTGTCTCATTCTCGTGCTTAACACCTCAAAATTAAACTAAAAAAGAAATCTTTAAAACCAGTTTAGGTACATGAGTGGAGCTGAGCAAGTTGGTAAATTTGTGTCTCCACAAAAATCATGAAATAGACAAAGTCAGAAGGAAAAGGATAGCAAAAACTTTCAACTATAAGTTTCACAATCCTCAGCTCTTTATGGTATCTTCACCTGTACTGCCCATTTGAAATAGATAAAACAAGAGAGCTCGTTATACTGGTCTACAAATGTCCAACACCGGCTTTTCTGACTGATTCAAATCCACGAAGCAAGTGAATCTGCGAATCATGATGTAGTGACAATGCAGTCAAACCACTTCTTGGAGGACGTCACAGCAAGTGCCACCGCAAACGACACACGCGAACTGCATCGCCAACAAAGCCCTTTCGTCTCCTTCATCACAAGGCCTTCAGTACTTTGCAAAGTTACTTTCCATGAATTACTTAAAGATGTCTAAAAAACGGTAGGCGGGGAATATGGAAACTTGCGACGAAAAAACCGTAAACGGGGGTCGTGTCGAGCCTTGAAGAAGTAAGTCCGCTTGTCGAAACGTCGGCTTGACACAACCCTAGCTTACAGATTTTTCATTTTAAAGATGTCTAGGCAATCACTGAGGCACAAGGATTATCAGACTAAAAAGCTTTTGTTCAAATGAATGTTCAATGCCTTCTAACACACTGGCAGCTCCTCCATTATGCGTTGTCTGCTGCAGTTCAAAGAAAATTTCAGAAATGTGTGACGGAGAATTTTTTTTCTCTTCTGGGTGTATTATGAGAATGCGTAATAGAAAATAGCTCAATGCTGCTAGACTGTTTGCACAGCATCCATTTACAAGCAACATCACATAAATCTCCACTACGAGTTGGTTCTAGTCAATTAATGCGCAGCTATATCTGAGCCAATTCTTCATATCCTGCTGCAGACAGATTAACCGATACTAAACATAAATGAGCACATACCGCAGCTTCTTGGCTGTTGCTATGAATCCGAAGAGCATCCAGGATTGCAGTTTCGGAAAAACCCATCTCTTTAAGATTGCTCATGGCCTGAAACAACGCCAACAACAAAAAGAATGGGCTCAAGTAACTCTATGATAAGTTTTAGAGGGAAAACAGAAATCTACAATAGCCCATATTTCTCAATGACCAGTTTTGACACACTTGTGTCACTCAGTTTTTACCTTTTTATTAGGCTTGAAGTCTTTCCGTTTGTACTCTTGAAAGCACTCGAGCATCGCACTCACAATGCCTTTTTGCTCCGCTTCTGTACTACCATTTAGTACTTCTGCATTCACTGAAAATAAAAGAACCATTGCCAGAAACAGATTCTCAACTAAATAAGTGCAGTTCACAGAATAATAATAGGTTACATGAAGTAGATTGGTGACGTCTACAAAAGAGACATTTTCAAAACCCAGTGCACCTCAAGCACATCTTCCCCAGGCAATTCCCTAATGCTAGCAGTATGCTATGTAAACATGAATATGCCGACATACAGCATATCCTTTGGAAATACCCACACAATACACGGCTTTTCATCACAAAAACTCTGACCTCCTTGAGACGCATTGGCACAATGCTCTGGCTATCTCAGAACTCAAAAACCAAATTTGGACCATCCAGCAGACCCGAGAAGTGGCAAAAAAGTTAAAAGTTACCCCAAATCCCCGTGGGCCTAGGCCAGGCCACCGATCTGCAGGTTTTAAAAAAGTTTTGTCCACGCCACTCTAATCTAGGTATGCTGCCAAAACGACCTCACTATAATATAATCCAATACAATAACTCATATTTCTCAAAGCCCAAAGGACAAAAAAAAACTCCATTATTTGTGGCCACAAAAACATAATGAGGGCATTAAAAAAACATGACATACATGTATGATACAGAAGCTATAGCTCAAATAACTTTGTACTTTAATGCTGTCTATAACAAAAATAAAGGACTCATTCGTATAGCATTCAGTTTAAAACAAAACTGCCCTAGCAAACCAGTATTCTCATATTCTGATACTCTATTTCTAGCGTGTAACAACGTAGAAGCTAGAAAGGCAGTCCACAGATAATTAAAAAGAAGAGAGAGAGAATAAAATCATTAAATGCACTTCACGTGAGGGGCGGTCACCTAAAGTAACACCTGAGAGGAGTATTCATTACTTTTTTCTATTTACTAGCAGAAAAACACCTTCGTAGCATAAATACTGTTTATGTGTGCTCACAGTGGTTTTACTCATTTGTCCTAATCGGTGATAGGAGGTGGACTACGAGCACTGAATTAAGGGGGAGGGGGGGGGGGTGATGACAGAGACCTTGGGGGGGGGGCATCGCCTCTATCGCCCGCCCCCCCCCCCCTGGATCTGCCACTGCTTCACGTAAGGGTGCGGTGGTTTGAAGCACACACTGAAGGGCGACTGATACAAAGGGTCCAGATTTGAGTCTAAGTAAAGCAAAATTTTGTTTATTTTCTTCTCTTGCCTTTTCTTTTTTTGGTAGGAATTACTATTACGTATAAGTTATTCCCTTTCTATGTGTGCCAGTAGTGAGCACTCTCATAACAGCAATCAAGATACTGTCAAGAATTGCGTAGGCAGTTTTCTTTGTGAAATGTGACCTAGACATTGACAATAAGTTCTCTAAAATGTCTCGAAAACTTCACAGAATCGATCTTCAAACACATAGAAGAAAATGATCCATTTTAAAATGACATAAAAGGAGCCACTTTCTTCGCATCTGCTGTACCGACCGTACAAAACCGGGCACACTAAGGCAGACAATGAATTAAGAACCTTTCAGCATTGGAGCTTTAAGCTTGTGTAAACTTTGTCTAATAACAAAAGCAGTAACAAAATGCTCACTATAATACTTACGTTACACTTATTTTCAATATTACTGGAGAAACATTGTTCACTAATACTGTTCAAGTAGCAAACAGCACCACATTACAGTGTCCTTGTAGTGTTGCGTGCCATGTATAAAAAGGTGTATAATTAACAACACAGGTAGTGCTTGAATTATAGGTAGTACCTCCTTCAATCAGCCCAAACACTGCACTGACTTCAGCATGAAAAGCACACACATTATAACTTTTCACTCCAGTGCAATTATAAAACACTGTTGCTGAAAGTTGTGCCATCACAATGACCATAAGAGCCCCCACACCACATTTTATCGTGATAGACCTGCGTTTCTGTTGTTTATCAAGTGTTAGCAACTGAAATTTCTCTGTTTTCGTCTCTTCTATCCCCTCCTGTCATTTGCGCCGTTAAGCACTTTTTCGTCTATCATGCAGCACCAACCTGCCCAACAAAGCACTTTGTTAAAGTAATACTGCAAATGTATTTAGCTTCCAATGTCACCCACATCAGCTCGGCACCCATATTCAGATGACTGAGACAGCGAGGATAGCTTTAAAGCAGATGAACATGCTTCAAGTGTGTACTGGCCGTAAAGAGAGCCCAAGCATGGCGAATAACAAGTATATAAGGACAGAAAACTGATGACGACACTTTTATAACGAGATATAGTGATCTACATTACAAATTTTTCAACTAACTCTGTTTATCCACACTAGCTTGAGCAGTAGCACGAGCAGAAATGTCTTCTGCAGAAGTTTCAGAGCAGGAATCCTTTTCCTGCCTGCAGCCCTTGGCTAGTAGCCAATCCATTGCTGTCATTGGACACATCCTAGAAACATGCAAAAGAAAGTGAAATATATAGAATAAACATGCAACAGATGGCGACAGGTCGGTAATCTCTATGCATGATCCGTTTAAAAAAATGAAAACAAATGTTTAACATGAAAAAATTAATTCCTAGAAAAAAGCCCATGACTACAAAAACAGCAGAGGCTCTACAAGAAAACAAGTGCAACACTAAAGAGCATCTTTTGATATGAATGGAAAAAACATACTTTGAAATTAATGCACTATGAAAGATTAAGCAACTAACTATTGATTCTGGCTCAGTTAATTATGTTCACTTGGATGTACACTCTAGTACATACACATAAGGTGCATGAACCAGCACGTTCTTTTGATAAAGGAAGATGTATTGTATACCATGTACCTGCAATAAATGTAAAGGGCAAGCAGCTTTGTTCCTACAATGAAATATATTTATTGAACTTGGAAGTTATACATGCAAACATGCTAATTAAGAAATATGAAATATAAAATTAAGAAATATAAAATATGAAAAGTGAAAGTTCATTAGTGCTTGCGAGAGCAGAAATGCTTGCACAAAAACAGCACAGCAGGTCACAAACAAAGCATGTTTACTCTCACATACAAATTTACATGAATATTAGACACAACATATGTATTTATACAGATGAAACATAGTTTCACAAGTCTATTTTTGTGAATTTCACATGTCAATTTTGATCAAACTTTATAATGCAGAAGTGTGTTGAGAAACAAATTCTTAGGAGCCCTGCAACCCTTTTAAAACATGGTCAGAAAATGCTGCTGATCGGTCATCAACGCTACTGAGAACATGTGAGCCAAGTACTATAGTGCAGCATCATGAGCGTGGGCAGGGAAATGCAAAAGAGGCACTTGCCTCCCTCAAGCTACCCGAGCACGATCCCCCCAACACAAAGCAGTACCAGTGCTCCCCCTCCTCTATCGCCATGATGCAACACAGGTTTGCAGCCCCAAGACAAAATCCTGCCGATGCCAATGTGAAGCATGCAGTTTGGAATTTACAATTAATTCCACTTCAGCCCAAAATTTATCCCTCTTCTCTCTGAAAATTACACCACATACCCAATATTGCACCATATATATACCCAAATCCACAGCTGTTGGCTCATTTGAGCATCGTGAGCCGCATAACTAGCCTGGCCACCACAAGATGCTACCACGTGCCCGCGTGTGTATGTGATCACACTGAAAGTAACATAATTGAAGAAAAATTGAAAGGAAAGAGCGTGACATGAGCTGACAAAGGGACGTATATACTTGGCTACTTGTCATACCCTTCCCAGCGTAGCTTTTAGCATGCTCCATGGTATGAAGGGAGAGAGAAAGTGCTCAAAGCATGTGGCAAATCCCTGTAATTCTGGTCGTACTTGATAGATTCGAAAAATTTTTGTGGCAGTCGATTTGAAAGGCAATAACCGATTTTACTCAACCAATTATAATACTACTTGAAAAGTGTTGCAGGGCCCCTTTCAAGGAGCAGAATACATGCAGAAACATGCAGAATAAAGCCAGAAAAACACTTCCAATCTGCAGTCTAGGAAACTGTAAACATGTGAATCGAATATTATTGCATTTTATATAGCAGGAAATTTACAATGTTTTGCAAGGTGCAGGCAAAGGTCGTTTGCTCACTTCTCAACGCCGTCACCAACTATAGAACAAGCGGGCATGAGCGGTATTGGGCGATTTCATGACAGGAATGCCTGCGCATGATCTTGAAGCATATGTGCTGGGTCAATTTCTATATTCCTCAACAGCTTCCAAAAGCTTTGGTTACAAAAGATGTATGAAACAACAGAGTTCAATGGTAATGTTATTCTATAAAAATAAGGTGGTTCAAAGCCGCTTTAAACAAGTAAATGAGAGAAAATTTACAAAGCAAATGAACAGCACATAAATATAATATACAAACACATAAATATAATATACAGATATGCATGCTGGTTATTGATACTTTGAATACAGAATCAAATATGAGAATAATACCCCTGTCACATGGCAAATGTATTGTCATTTACAATGAATGACATTAATCGGACCTAATGTCGTTTTACCTGCATGCTACCACACGACAAAAACAAATGCCATTTTGAAATGTTGACCATGACCTTTGCCCTCCTGAGCCGTGAATTTTACGAGAAATTAAAATGTACTAAAACTTGTATGTAAAATGTGTTTATCCACAAAAACAACTTCTATGGGTGAAAAGGTGCTTCTATAAAAGTTGGCCATTTTACACAATTTGCCAAAGCTGCATGACACACTCGAAAACTAACATGGCCGACGATATTACCGGGCTTGAGTACAGTGAACTAAAGTGGGGTGGATGACTGACTTCCCAACTGCCAGAATGAGATGGCGGCAGTGATTTCATGTAGTCAGGGCTGGGCAGTATCGAAGATACATGTATCTGAGATACTATCTTAAATACTCTTTTGGTATCTTGTATTTGTATAGTGATACGTCTCGCAAATAGAGTATCTGTATCGGTATTCCTTTTACATTCGATAATGTATGTATCGTGTATCTTAAGATACAAGATAGTACAGTCACAATGCTTCACTGAGCAAAACATTATTCACTGATTGAACTGCGATTCTCAAGCTGCCACTAAGCCACTTTGATAAAATTAAATTTTACATTTACATCAGACTCCACCAGTTGGGGCAGGCGATCAGGTGCGCGTGAATCTTTTGGGAAGCACAGAAACACGATAAAGCTCGTGCAGTCTCGACAGAAACCACCTTCGCGTACTTGCCCACATGTCTTTTGTTTTCTAGATTTTTACTTTTTAGTTTTGTCAGAGCCATAACACTTACCCTTAGCCACTTGCAAGCGCCGCGTAGATGGCCGCTGAAATTCTGATGCCGCTCTCCAGATGCACAATACAGTTGGCACTCTTAATAGCTATGGCTTAATTGCTGTAGCTATTAAGAGTGCCATCTGTATTGTGCATCTCAACTGACTCACCACGAATGCTTGAAACGGCTTGTCTATTTTAGTAATACATGCTTGCCTTTCTTAGTCATCCCCATTTTTTAGCTATTACTAATTGCCAGGGAATCGTAGCTATAGCCGGCAATAGTGCGAATAGCGGCGTTTCCCCGCGACAATTTGTGCAACTAAGCTGCCATGCACTCCTTATTTGTTTTTGTTTTTGTTTTTTTCAATTAGGTGTGATCGGGTCTAGGTCATAAAAAACTGATGACCGCTCGACCCAAGCCACCCACAATATTTCTTTCATAAACTTCGAGATTGTTCCAGATTGTGCTGCTAATATTACGTTCAAATCCGGCTACAGTGGCCACATGTCGATGGAGTTGATATGCTATAGGAGCACGCACTGAGACTTCATAGCATGTTAAAAAACAGCACAGAATCAAAAGTTCTGGAGCCCTCCCCTACGGCGGTCTGCATAATATCATAGTTTTGGAACCTAAAAACTGAAAAATTAGTATTCAGATTAGGTGCCGTACGCATACACTTCTTAATTCACGACCTTATGGATGCATGCACCAGTGGTAATGCTGGAATGTGCGATCACTGCTGTGTAAATACGAGATGCGTTCTGCCAATGATAAGATTACCGAAGGCTGACGACACTGTTTGCAGCTGTTCGAGTACAGTGCACTTTGCTTCTACTTTGAACTACTTACTTTCACGAGCAAGAGTTGTCTAATTAATTTCATTTCAACCAGTGACGGTCGCTTTTTTCATAGTCACCACCACGTGACAATACAATAGGTCTCAGGCGTTTCCGAGGTGCACATGTCCTCTAATTCAAGAAAATTGATGGCACATTAGTGAGTATTTAGATAACGACTGGTTTACACGGACAGATAAGAAGAATAAGAAAGGTAAAAGCAGCTTTATGCGCTCTATGTAGGCCTGCCTATATACACAATGTTTCACAAAAATGTTGCGACCGGCTTTGTTGCTGCTGTACAGTGGTGATTCAGTATCGCAAAGCAATTTTTTGTAGAGAACCTGAAACAGCAGACTGGTATTTGCGCCATTGTGCAAAGGTTTTTTTATTGAAGCTCGTATGATTAAATGGCACTCCACTAGCTGGTCTGCAAGCTCCGCAGTAACTCTCAGCAATTACAGAAATCTGAGCTGTCCACTTGTATATCTAAATCAAATCCTGATACTTTTTTCAGGTGCAAAGTAAATTACTTTGGAACAAAACTTTTGAGGTACCAATAAACATTTTACTGAAATGAAATGGGACAGATTTCAGAGCTTTCAAGCCATCGTTTTTGCGCGTATGTGTTGGCCACAAGACTGTGGGGGTCTATAACAAAAAATTTGCGAATGTATCTAAGTATCTTAAGATACAATTAGCAAGTATCCTATCAGATACAATTTTTGCAGCAGTATCTTAGATCTGTATCACCAATACTTTTGTCTGGGTATCTTGTATCGTATCGCGATACAATTTCAAGGTATCTTTGCCCAGCCCTGCGTGTAGTCACCACTTTGGTCACCATAACACGTTTAATCGGACAATCAAAATGCGTTATACAGGCAACAACAATGACAACAGAGCAAAAATTAAACATGGTCGGCAACCAGCCCCTGTCGTTGAGAGTAGCTTGTTTGGGAAACTTTTGTGCATGCTATTATGTCATCAAACCAGAAATATGTCAGTCTATTAAAGAATAAGATATTAAAAACGATAAAAGTTGCATGTACATCAGTTTACAGAGTCACCTCTTTAAAAGTCCAAGGCTTCAAAACTACTCATTCGGTCCGAAATCGAATACGAATGTGCTTCTGGAACTCATTTGACAGAAAATGTCATTTTCATCAAATGACATTAGTTTTCCTGTGTGACAGCAAACAAATGACATTCGTCGTAAATAACATTATTATTATTTTTTTTAATACATACTGCGGACACTAAGTGGTCCAAGCAGGAAGGGCACGTCACGCATACCACAGATGTAATGACGTACATCATATGAAAAACACACTTTGTTTTACACGCTACAATACACTTCGTTATGTAACAACATCACGCTTCGCTCTATACACTACAATAAACTTCAATATGCAAAGCAACAACACACCCGGTTCTACAACACTACATTACACTATGCTCCACAACACAAGTAGTAACTTACGCCAAACAACGACAATACATTGCATACCTCATACTTTACAATACGTTACACATACATTACAATGAATGAGGTTCGCATAACTTGTTCCAGTCCGACACTGTTCGCGGAAAAAAAGAATACATAAAGGCATCGGTTCTCGCAAAAAATGGGGTTAGCAAATTGGGATTTGCCATGTGACAGGGGTATAAGGAAGGGGAGAGAAGTGTACAAAAAAAATAACAGGACATCAAGATATGCCGCCTCATTATATGACAATCCCAGCCTGACCTGGCTTACATGCATTAAACGAATGTGCCTCAGTCAACACCAACAGTCGAAGCCCCAAAAATTTGAACTGTAATTCACAAAGTATCTGCTTTCAGAACAATGTGTGGAGTGAACCTTGATATTCTCATAATGTATAGTAATTGACTTCGGAGTAACTCTGCAATAAAACAAGATAGGCCCGCACACAGGCTCTTTGTCTTCTACAACAAAAGATGGCATCTGGACCAAGCTAGACATAGCAGTTTATGAAAAACACACTAAAATCATTATTTTCTTCTAGTTTTTGTCTGAAAACAAGGTAGCGTTAACTGATTTCGCCACCCAAGCTTTCCATTGGGTTGAGTATTTTGGCAGCAGAATGCCATTGAGTGAAACCTACTGGCCATAAAGATGCAAAGAATGGTGCAGTATAACGTAAAAGCCTACGTTAAACTCTTCACATCATACCACGGCACACCACAGCTACACTCACTTGTTTTCTCTCAGGGCTTGGATTGCTTGTTGCTCCTCAAATCCCATTTCCAAGAGCTTTTTTAATGCTGCTTCATCAATTTCAGGTTCGCGCTTCTCGATAAGCTTGCCTTGAGTAAAATGCCAATGTGAAACGATAAATGCAATTGTCAAATGTGTCTTTAGACAGTCTGCACAACAATGTCTACCTGATACTGTTTTACAGTGCCACAGATGCACTGTTAAAGGAACCCCAAAACGGTTTCGACAATATTGTACAAACACATTGGGCTGGTAAACCATGTTTGACATCTCAGATTCACTGGCACCCAAGAATATGAATATGGTGCTGATGCACGCGCTGCCCTTTATGTGGGATGAAAAACTGTTCTTATAGTTTGCGAGCTAATCTGTCTTTACTTCTGCTGAGGGTTCTTATTTTCAAACCTGCGACCTTTGAGTAATGCGTTTGATGCTCTACGAACTGAGCTACCATAGTGGCTATCCCCCCATCCACTTTATGGAGTATGTGCATTAAACGCGGGAGCGTCAGTCAGTGCCGCCTGATGCCATTGCAGCGAGTGTAGAACACACATTTTTTTGCTTATTGCCGTCACCTTGCACATGATTTTATTACAAGCAGGCCAGCTGACCAATAATCCATCTCATACCAGCTGAAGGCACCAAGTCTGCCAGAACGAGGCCCTCACTACGAATGATGGAAAGAAAGATAAACTAAAAGGCTCATTTTCTTTGTTAGAAGGAATAGTAATTATTAATTACTTGATTATTCAGTATTCATTGAATATTCATTCAGTTATTCAATATTCATTATTCAAAAGTCACAGGTTTGGTGCCAGCCGACGGCAAGTTATGTTTCCATCCACATTTCTTTCTTCTCATTTACATTAGAATTACTTCTAATAATATCCCCTATACTTTCCTTGGCATCATTGACTATCAGTTCTCATTAATATTGTTTCAAAAACCAAGCCCTTAAGTTTACCCTTGTTTCTTTCTTATCTCATAAAGGTGTCTTACACACTCCTGACAATGGTGTCTTCATCAGCCCACTCCAAGCAAATAAAGATTTTGTGGTTTTATAGCATATGATACAGGAAGTTATCAATGTTCATGCAATAGTGGAAGAGCATAGCAAAAAAAAGTTCAAGCACTTTATTGTCTTTCCTCTGTCAATGACTTTACCTGTCTATGCTACAAATTGCTGCCTCATAATGATGCCAAAGAATAAAGCAATCCAGCATAACGCTTATCTACAAAAATGCATTGCAATGTAAAACTGTGAACTCACTCTGTAAATTCTTGAAAATGTTTTCAATGTCCGGATGGTGACGAAGCAGCTTTTCAGACAGCTCCAATAGAGAAACCAATATTCTTCTCAGCTCAGTTTGAAACTGCAACAGGTCCATGAAGAAGGCAGTGCATGTAGAAACATCGAAAATCGCCGAGAAGCGCTGGCAAAACTTTCGTCCTTGTTAGCCTACGTTCATCTGTTCTGTGATCCGCGTGACGGCACTGCTACACCTAAAGCCCCAAGAAAGTTTGTAACTTACATCAGCGACTAGTTGTACGTCCATGGCAGGTTTATCAAAATTCTTGCGTTCAAGATTCGCCGTCGCTAAATCGATAGCACCTTTGTCCGGAACTGCTAGCATCTGACCCTGATAGAGTGTCACATAGAAAGCATGAATAAAACAATGCGCACAAACTGATGGAAGAGCAAGAAACAAATTACCTCACTTGACTTGTTCGCATTTCCAGAAAACGTGGAACTACGTTTCAGGAGCAGCAGTTCATCTGCGCGCAGAAAAGAAAAATAATAATAAAACAAGGGGGAGTGGGGTTCATAAATACATTTGTCAAGTAAGCGCATTTGTGTTAACTGCGCAGCAGAACGCAACGTCTGTTTCAATGTGAAAACACGCACGGCGCATGAAATTGCTGATGTCTAAGCACGTCAGTTTCGGAAGACTCACCTCCATCGCGGATCTTTTCCTCCCTCACAGAACTTTGATCACACAGCGGCCTCGCTTGGGAAACCGAAACTAGCTTGTAGTAATCGGAAAGTTTTATGCAGTCCAGTGGGTTGCAGAAGTGACTGAGAGACATTTGCTTCAGTTTTTCGACCGTGTACTCCGGCAATATCTCCACAGTCCACTCAACACCAGTGCTGCTCATTACGCTGATCTTCATCTCGCAAGCACCACTGAGCCTTGCCCTTAAGTATAACATATCTCAAACTATCAAGACACTTAGAAGAACTCTGGACACAGTCTTTCATGCGATAGCGAGTGCATTTCCGAAGCAACCAAATAAGAACAAGGCAGAAATAAACATCAGCTGCTGGCGACACGGGCGACACACGCCTCAAAGCAGCCGAAGTGTGAAACACTGCGGCGCCACCAGTGGAGAACTGCCAAACCAGTGAATTGACCATTTGCATCTTGCTGACGAATCACTAATTGTAAAGCAAATAAAATACCTTTGTTCTTAAGACTCGTTAAGAATTTATTAGCGCAGTAACTTTATTCAGTAGATGTGGCGTAAATAAAGAGGGTCGGGATCCTGACCATTTGTAATTATGCTCGTGCCAAGCTCAGGCTGGTGCGGAGGAGGAAGAAGTATCTATAAACGTTGGCGCGGACCCTATTATAGGCATGCGCACGAAAGGGGCAAAATGGGCACCCCTCCCCTATACACCGAAGTGGGTGGGGGGTGCTATGTCAGCGCCATACGCCATAGAGTTTCTCAAAATTATCTAGAGGGCCCTCTGGCGCTGCGATCGTTCAGCGACCATGGGAATGATGGGTAGTACCGTAGCACGGAGGAAGAAAAAAGGTTTTCCTTTCTCCGTGTACCGTAGTAACACACATCTGCCTAGTCTTCGTACTTGCGGGCGGCGAATCGTACTTGCGGCTTTGTTTATTGCTGTGTTTCAGTTTTGTTTTTAAATAAAGATTGAATGCTTTTGAACTTCGTGAGCCAATTTGCAAAGTGAGTTTAAAAAATAAAATGGTGAAGCGCAACCGCGGAACATTTGCTAATACTTGTTTCGTAAGAAAACAGCTCCAAGCCACACGAACACACACGGAGCCAAAGGCAGGCAAGAAGTACGAATATTATACAAATGTGTGTACTACTACTACCCATCATTCCCATGCTCGCTGAAGCGCCGTGCGTTGCAGCTCCCATAAACACTAGCGCCAGAGTTCCCTCTAGTAAGTATTGTGGGAAACTCTATGGTCAGCCCTACCCTTTGAGCTTAACCTTTACCTCCGAGATAGCAAATGCACGGAGCTTACAATCTCGGAGGCTATGCCCATAGCATAAAGAAAGGGATTTTTTATTTTTTTTTACTTTATTGTATCTATTCTCAAATTATTGAATACATTCTGATAAAACTTTGGATGTATGAGGCTCTGCAAGTTGGAAAGAATATGAAATAAAAAAAATGGCTGATATCGCAAAAAGTGTAGCTGTAACAAATTTACACTGCATGATGTACCCTCGGTGGTTTTGTGAACGCAGTTCTTTTATTTTTTTCTCACACTAACTCTCTGAAGTATGTTCTATTTTTTTTTAGTTCGAATATAACCAACGTGTGTCTACAATAACACGGCTGAATATAAGTACACTCCTCTCGGTGGTTGCTGAGAGGAGTGGGCCAAAAGGAAGATAGGTAACGTAGGGGAAAAAAAGGTATCGCGTGATACCCAGTGGCAGCACGTGAAATTTTATGTGAATACTTGAAGCTCCCATAATATAATACGTTAAACATATACCACTTACCATACCCCCTTAAATCAAAACTATGGTCGGCGAGGTGGAGCAAACACGTGCGTGCATAACACAATGTGACAGAGAGAGAGAGAAAGCGATAGAATGAAAAAGATAAAGAAAAATAGAGATAAATAAAGGAAATAACACAAGAAAAAAACGGTAGAAAGAGAGAGAAGGAACATACACTAAAATAGAGAAAGAGGGACCAGGACAGAAACAAAGAAAGATAGAAATAAAGAAAAGAAAGAGAAATGAAGATGGAGCGAGAAAGATTTATATGTGGGGTCAAACGTCCCAAAACCACCATATGATTATGAGAGACGTCGTATAGTCGAGGGCTCCGGAAATTTCGACCACCAGGGGCTCTTTAACGTGCACCCAAATGTGAGCACACGGGCCTACAGCATTTTCGCCTCCTAAAATGCAGCCGCCGAAGCTTGGATTCGATCCCGTGACCTGCGCGTCAGCTTAGCCACTTGACCACCACGGCGGGGCAGAGCGAGGAACAGAAATAGAGAGAAAACGAAAGAAATAGGCAGACAGAAACAGAAACAAAGAAGCAACGAAAAAAAAGAGAGAAAAAGGAAGCAGGAAGAAAAAGAGTGGGCAGATCCCACGTACACAGAGAATCGGTGATATGTGAAGCATGAATGAGGAAGGCTGATATGTCGCTTTTACATCACAACAACGTTACTCAGCGCATAGATGTATATAGTACACAGTAAACACAGGTGGAAAGGTTATGAGCACTCAGGTATCTGGATAGGATGTGCAAGTCAGGTATTTCGATAATATGCAAGTATGTTGTTTATAGTCGCGTAACGATGGCACCGCTGACGTTCGCAATACGAGCCCCAGCAGTGGTAGACATGTCAATTGTGCCGTACATGACTAACATTTTATCATTATCATGTTTGCGCCTGGCATTTGTGTGCGTCGTCCATTTACGTCACGTAATACCAAATTTAGTATATAGGAAGCTAGCGCAACGGCAGCGAGCGCGCTATGAGCGTAGCATATGGTCATGCTTTACATGACACGCATATAATTATTATCATGTATGGATGTGCCATTTACCATTGTCGTCCATTCACGTAACGTAATGCCAAATTTGGCAAGTGTGCAGCTAGCGAAACGGCCGCGAGCGCATCATGAGCGTGGTATATAGTGATGTTCTTACATGACACGAATGCCATGATTATTATGTTTGCACCAGTCATATACCTTCGTCACCTATTCACGTCAAGTAACGACAAATTTGGTATATGTGAAGCTAGTGAAACGGCCGTGAGCGCACCATGAGCGTATGTCGTGTAGTGATGACTTACATGACATGCATGCCATGATTTCCACGTTAGGGCCTACCACTTATGTTCGCCATGCAGTCATGTCATACCATAGCAATTTCGCAATATGTCATGTGCCCGAAACCCCCGTAAGAGCAGCAAGGGCATGCATGTAAATCATGACATTCATGACATGTCATGATTTTCATGTTATGACTAGCCACGCTCGTAATACACTCATGTTATGCCATAAAGGCTTTTGTATAGATCCCATCATCGAAACGGTCGGGAGAGCGAAAAGTCGTAGATAGATAGATAGATAGATAGATAGATAGATAGATAGATAGATAGATAGATAGATAGATAGATAGATAGATAGATAGATAGATAGAAAGATAGATAGATAGATAGATAGATAGATAGCGTCTCTCATAATCAAATGGTGGTTTTGGGACGTTAAACCCCACAAATCAATCAATAGATAGATAGATAGATAGATAGATAGATAGATAGATAGATAGATAGATTGATAGATAGATAGATAGATAGATAGATAGATAGATAGATAGATAGATAGATAGATAGATAGATAGATAGATAGATAGATAGATAGATAAGCTCAAAGTCAACGAAGTTTGCTAGCAAAGGCTTCGTATTTAAAATGGAAAGCCAGCTGTCATAACTTTCTTTTTTTTTATTTCAAAACATGGTTTGAAATTTCGTGGGTATCATAACAAAATCTGTGCCTTCCCCTTTGCTTGTGATTTCTTATTCTGAATTCACACCACAGATTGACAACCTAAAATCGACACGTGCCGTTATTTTGCATATCAAGACCGTGCTAACAATGAAATGGTCCGTTCATGCAAGCCCGCGATGCGGCTGTCAGGCTAAGCCTTGAAGAGCCAACACGGCAGTCGTAACGCGTCTTGAAGGACAATAATAAAGTTATTCAATTCCATTCTATTGTGCCATGAGCCACAAGATGCAGTGAAAGTGTTGAAACACTACACAGTTCAAACACGTGCTTTTTGCACAAAGGCCAATGGATTTATTTACAGAAAGACAGAGAGATCGGCCCGAGGTATAGAATATGCCCTAACCTGGTATACTGTACACTGGGGAGGAGAATGGGGGAAAAGAGTAATATATGATGATAGGGAGGTAAGGAGTTCATTACACATATAAACGTGAGCACGGTTCTCCTTTCGGGGGGGGGGGGGGCTCTTCGCAGCGCCCCCCTTTCCCTATCAAGTCAATTTAATGGGCCGACTTCGCGCCCCCCTTTTTAGGTGACAAGGGGGGGCTGCACCGCCCTCGTCCTCACGCCTATGTGAGTATGTGCAGTCCCGTCAGGTTGGCGCAGTGAGGCAACACCACCTAGAACCTAGTTCTAGGTGGTGTTGAGTGAGGCCAACGAAATGGTGTACTATGTCGCACCTTGCTTTGTAGCGATCTTTCTGGTCATGTGAATTGGAACACATTTTCCGTAAGGTAATCCCTAAAACTTACATGTGCATAAAACCAATCATTTCATCACCAATCATGTGCGTTGCGGACCTTTGTGAACTATCTCTGCTGGACCGTCCACTTAGGTTATTGATCCAAGCATTTTGTACGCATTTTTTTTATGAAAACCATTTTGGATACGTTTGATTTGATATGATTTTATTTGACTTAATTTTTATTTTATTTTATCTGATATTCTTTATGTCCACTTGCCATCAATGTCCCACCTAAAGACAATTTGTACATCACTGGTTTGACCTGAAAGTCTGAAAATTCTCAACCGGTGGTGGTAGTGGTTAGAAGATGAGAAAAGGCACCTAATTTCTGTAACCCGATCGGGAGCCCGGCGCAGTGCCTACCCTCTCTCTCAACTTCTCGAACTTTAATTTGCCAACGTGCTTAGCATTCAGCCAAGAGAGAGAGAGAGAAAACGTAAGCGTCGTACGTAAGTAAACCAGCTTACACGACGTTCTTGTTGAATTACGGGCAGGCACACCGCAACTTTGTCGGTGTTGTTTAGTTGGTTTGTCTTGAAGGAAGGAAGACTGGTGAATAGAGAAAACACAAATAAATCATTCACAAGAGAGAGAGGGAGAAATATCCGTGCACTTAGTATTCTTGAAAATGTGAGAGGGAAGCGGCGGTATAATTATGTCTCACTAAGTCAAGAGTCCGCTGGTAGACGTATACATTGGTGCGGGACCCACGAAGCTCGATCTCGACGCACGCGTTTACATACCTTGTATGTACTTTATCATTGACTCGAAGGGAATAAATTCCTTGTGAAGTCAATGAAC